TGAAACAGAACTGTAAACAGATTTTTCTTTATGGATATTTTACAAATCACTTAAACCGTATTCTTGTTTTGTCATATAGTATTTCATAACTGTTTTTCATTTATTCTCTCTGGCGGTCCATCTCATAATGTTCACATAGAAACTAGCTGTCAATAGGAATATCATTCAGAAGAATTATAATTTCTTGCAAAAATCTGTCACAAAAAGAGGTTGCACATTTAAATGCAGGTGTTGTTATGGCAACGTCAGTGGCCAGACAGCCACATTTACTGCTGCTAATACGTTCAAACATGCTGTTGACACGTAAAGCAGTGGCAACTATGCCACCATTTCAGCTGACTCTTTCTCAGAAATACTGTCACATAACATCCATATATTTCATTGCTAGGTTGATGCTTAGCTAAGCTAACTATGAAACACTTTAACTGACAGGACTCCGGATCAACTGTGTACTACAAAGTAGCTTCTAGCTTCATGTCGAACAGTATGTCAACATTTCCCAGAGAGCTTTCTTTGAAATCACCAGGTAACGCTAAAAAACATTACATTTAGATTGTATGAAAAAGTGTTTATTTAATATATCTGGCTAGCTATAGCTACTTGCTAACGGTTTAGCTTACCCCCGTGATTCAAAGTAACGTCAACGTAGCTGTAATTTATGCTTTGCTTACATGTTCGCATAACTTGGAAGTTTACTGACATTTACATACCTTGTTCACCTGGCTCAGGTGGTGGCTCTGGGGTTGTTGTGTGAGCCACCACTTGAGAATTGTCGTCTTTTTTAAGTAAATGTTTTCTTATGTCCATCTTCAAAAGCTCTGAGTCCACTGACAGTTTATTTTAAACATTGTCACAACTCACATATAGGTACCTGTCAGACAGACAGGCAGACAGATGTTTATTTCCATTCAACTCTCTGGTTGTCTGGTGTCTTGCCTCTGGTGCATTAACTGAACATGGGAAATTACATTCCTGCCGTCCTCTCTAGTGTCATGATGAGGTTCAGGTAAAGCACGGTTAATGTATTATATTATTGACTCAATAATATAATACATGACTTTGAGAGTAGGCAATCTAGGCATATTAACACAATTAATTAAACATACTTATCACGGCGACGGTGTACTAAGATTATTTTTTTTCCATTTTTGCTAGGGGGCCCTTAGTGGCTGCAGGGCCCTAAGCGGCCGCTTATGTCGCTTAATGGGTCGGGCCGGCTCTGTTCACAATCTTTAAGTACTGGGAAGAACCAGGTTTTTGACTTCAGTCTTTATGGTTTCAATATCAAATCTTATAGTTGAACAAGTCTAAATATAATCTGCATCTGAAACGTTACCATTATTACAATGAAGTTGAAGGATGAACTGGTCGATGAGATCTGGAAGACCTTAGGGGGCATCCCTCTAATTTTGCACACAAAGATTCAGCCTATAAACCGCTGTATAATCAGGGGTGCACATAACTGGTACGCAGGTACGCATGCGTGGCAAACATCTGAAATGCGTACCGTCACTTGTCTCACTAAGCGCATTTGCGTACCGGCGGACTTGTGAAGCATTTCCACTGGACGACAGTGCCGGTCGCCGTGCATACAGACGGGGCTGCTGTTAACGTTGGTGTGTACAACGGAATTGTGCCACAACTTCCGGCGCGAGTTCCACGCGTGTGCTCCACGAGCGCCCACCCCTCCCGTCAACGTTCAATACCACACTCCCACCGAAACATCGAGGCAGATTGAAACTACCTGAACGTCGTGAAGCAGTTGCAGTTTCAATCACTACCTGCTTAGGTTAAAGAAGAAAAATGTGGATTGGGTTAAGTTAACTACTTGAATTAAAGGTAGGGTAGGTAAGAACCCTAGAGTGCGCTAGAATTTGAAAGTACGCAGCTGAAAAAAATCTGCCCCCTCCTTCAGACTTCCTTACAGAGCCCCTCATCCAACACACACGAACGCGCACATGACCAATGAGGGCACGAGATACATTTGTGCACGAGATGGAAGGCTGACAGGCAGGTGGAATATAACAAAAGTGTTTCTGAAGTGAATTACCTACCCCACCTTTAAGGACATTACATATGTCATGTAAGTTCTGAATGTTGCAAATGTAAACGTTGAGTTTTGGTTTCACACGGGACACAAACAGAAGTCTCCTGAGTAAACTCTAGTGCTTGTTAGACCGATCCATCCTCTCTAAACTCCTCTCGGACTCTGTCGTTCTTTAAACTGAACTACGTCACCCTTTTGCTCCCGTCATAATAACTATCGCCACTAGAGGTCGTCGCATAACAATGTTGAACCTTCCTGCTGTGATCCAGCCTACCGAATTATGATAACCGCCTACTAAGATTATCAGAAGGTAGAGTAATGTCAAATCTATAGCTCCCGAAAACACACGATAAAGTCAATGTAATCGACTGATAACATTCAAAGCTAATGAAACTTTGAAAGATGCTTTCAAGGTGCACTATCACATAGGTTTAGGAAACTAACATCCTGCTGCATACATTTTTATTTTATTGACCATTTTTGAAGCGTAAATTCAATTCCCAGGAATAAAAAGGTTACTAAAGACCTATATCATGGTCACATCATCACCGCTAAGCTAAAGGCGGCTAATGTTTGGCGGTTTATTCTTCTCATATAGCTACTTGTTACACATTTTATGTTGTAGAACAAAACGTGAAAATCTCTCCAGATTGTGTTAACCACAGACTTAATTAATGCATTTTTTAAAATTATTTCACTCCTATTGTGTTATTCTATATGTTATTTGTTCTCTGTACAGCACTTTGGTCAACTGAGGTTGTTTTAAATGTGCTATATAAATAAATAAAGATTGAGATTGACCTTATTTCAGGCATCTAACCTAAAACACATTCCAAAATATTGACTTTTGAGACTAGGTTTTAGGACTCATTCCCCTCTAATGCAAAGAAACTCCTGTAAACTGCAGGATTGTTTGCGTGCATCAGGACTAACACCACCAGACTCAGGGACAGTTTCCTCCCACAGGCCATAAGACTGTTAAACACGTGACCTTTGAAAGAACATCCATAACATCTGTTTTCAACTCTTATATATCAATATCCCAATTACTTGTATATAGACTACTCTTGCACTACTTCTATTATATTATATTTTATTTGTATTTACTTGCACTATTATCTGTTTTATTGTGTTGCACTGTTGGAGGAGCCTGTGACCTAAGATTTTCATTGTCATAACTACACGCTATGTACACATGACAATAAAAGCCTTGAATCTTTTTTATGATCCGAAGAACACTGATCTCTCTCTCATCCCTCTTTCCTGAGTGTATCATTTGCTCTGTTGAGGTGAAACCAACGCTTGATGTTTGTAGATGTTTGTTGATGTGTTGAGGACTCAGATACAGTCGTTCAGCACAGATTATTTCCCTCGCAGTGCAGCAGACTGGCAGCTCGACTCCTGCCTGAACATGTCCGCTCTGCTGTCACCACGCCTTCAGCCCCAAACAGCACAATTACCTGCACTCAGTGACAGAGTTCAAGGTAGACACTGCTGTTTGGCAAGGATTTCATTTGATTTATTCTGATGCATCTGTCAATATAAGTAACTCCATCTGCAGACACATCGTGAGCTACTATAAATCTTACTAAGGAATTTATACAAATATGAAAGTCAACAGGCAGTGATTATTTGGCACAGCAGCCACATTGTAAGCCCCTATACGATGGATTATATAAGTGGGGAATTGTGAGATATAATAAGAACAGCCAATGCCAGGTACACAAGACTTTAATATCCGAGAAAGAACAGTGAGGTGTTCCCTAAATGATGAGTGTTGCTTGTGCTGAAGTTAAGAGGAATGAATGGCAGCAGAAAATGGAGCGGAGCCTCATGCGGAGGAATGCAAAAAACCCACCTAACCTCCTCCCACATAGAAACACATGCGACCAAACCTTTCCAAGGAAGAGTGGCACAACTTCAGCTACAATCACACAGTAGTCTGACTGATTTCACATACATTTAAAACATAGATTAATTAGATATGAGCTGATATTCGCCTGTGGACTTATTAAACTTTTCCTTTATCTCTTAATATAGTTTTACTGTCTCTGCTTTCCACCTGCATAACTTACGTCTAAATAGAAGCTTTACTGTTATCAAAGTTGTTTGAATCACTGTAAAATGATTAGGAACTGAAGATGTTTTCTTTGTGTACAATACGTTATTGGGGAACTCCTTTTTAAGTAGTTTCTTAAGCCCAACCCCTGTCTTGTTTGAACAGCAACAACATGTCTTTATATGTGACCTTCAATAGGCTGTTGGTAATGACTAAGTAAGAATCTAGGACTAAATGAAAACATGCATATCAGAGGTTTAAATAGTCTGTGAACTCCTAACAGTTCCTTGAAGTGTTCCCAAAGAGAACAATTTCATAGTTTGAAATTGGCACATAAGCCTTCAAAGGCTGCACTAAAATATAACGTCTTGACCCCATCATTTCCCTATGTTTTCTGATGGGGTTGAGATTTATCATGACAAAAAAGGTAGGCAATGGAGATTTTAGAAATAAAATCTCACATGAGAAAAACCGTATGACCGTTTTTTTTTTTCAGGCTTCACGTGCATGTTCTTGTCCTTATTACACCTGCCATTATATATATATATATATATATATCATAAATACAAGTCACGTGTCACATGCAAAATGTAATACACTCAAGGATATCATCATTTCACCTATATGGAAACCTGCAATTTTCCAAGTTAACACGTGTTTTTCCCTTTTGGGTGACTTTCTTTAAAGGGTCTTTTCAGGGGGATGCAGCTGTGTTGGTCAGTTATTAAGTCTGAGGGGGGAGAGTAAGAAAGAAAGTGAATGTGTGATGGTTAACAATTAACCTGGAAGCCCACTGAGCTGCAGGGAAAGCTGACAGAAGAAGAAGATGAGTGAAAATGAAAGGGGGTCAGATGAAAGTGAAACAGAGTGTTTGTAGAAAAGAGTCCAACTTACAGCCAGTTGCTCGCGTTGGCGGACAGCAGCGCGCAGCAGAGCATCAGGACGCAGCGCAACACATACTCCTCGCTCATCTCGAGAGGGAGGTCGGGGGGGTCACAGAGGCCTGAAATAATCCCGAGAAGGACAGGGGGTCGGCGGGGAAAAAATAAGCAGCTGCGGGCTCCGGGGAGGGCTGTTAATCCATCGTCCCGCATCCAGGGGCTCATCCACCGGGGAGGCGCGCAGAGTGTCCGCCCGGTTCTCCCGTCCCTCCCTCCGCCACTCCGCACTCAGAAGGGACGGGGAGAGGGGGAAAAGAGGGATGCTAAAAATACTAAAAAATACTCTGAATCGCACCCTTCTTCTTCTTATTCTTCTTCTTCTTAATGTTTATTTTCTTCTTCCGCTGAGCCAGCCAGGAAAAAAGAAGAGCGTGGATTAGAGGTCAATAAAAGTGAAGAAGAACTCCGCTGGTTCTTCCTCCTCATCTGGAGACGCTCCTGTCTGTCAGCGCGCACTCTCCAACTCTCCAACACCGACACATGCACACTGAGAGCGTTTTTACGCACGGTTCCTCTCACTCCACCGTCTCTCGGTGCGTCTGGCGCTGCGGAGATGTGAGCCGACTTTAGTGGAGGGGCGGCGCGAGGATAGAGAGGTAGGCAGCGAGATGGGAGTTTTTCGGGGGATGAAGGAGGCGGGTTTAAGGTGTGTGTGTGTGTGTGTGTGTGTGTGTGTGTGTGTGTGTGTGTGTGTACAGGTTTGGGGAGTAACGGATTACATGGAACAGAATAACGTACACTGACAAAACTGAAACGTTGACTTTAATTAAATGTACTATGTCAACAAATGTAACATAACTGATTAGTAAAGCAATAATATTAAGTTGAACCTATTTAGACTCAATATTATTACTTTGAACTAACTAAATAGAGTTATGTGAAATCTGTTGACTTAATACATTTCATTAAAGTCAGATCTGACTTTCAGTGTGATCAGGATACAAAAGAAGGATAATGTAATCCCTTACAGTGACATCAACAAAGATGTAATCAGATTACTGAGACATTTTTCAAAGACAGGGGTTGATAGCACAGTTTACAATACGTTTCTATAGGGAGACGAACTGCCTGCATATTCTTTTTGCTTTAATTTACTTTTATTTGAATATAATTGTTTTAAATGCAGTGCTTTTTGATCCTAAATATCTTCGTTTCTTCTTTTCTTAGGTCACATTTTCCTGTTGTCTTACATAATACACAGAAGTAAAAAACATCTTCTTAATATTTATTTTCTCTTGTATTTAATTGCATTGGAATTATTGGAATCCAAAAGTAACAGAAGGTAATCAGATTACATTCCTTTTATGATCATCAGAATAGGTACATAACATTATTTACAGGTAACAGTTTTAACGGATCACATTTTTAAAGTAACCCTCCTAACTCTGTGTGTGTGTGTGTGTGTGTGTGTGTGTGTGTGTGTGTGTGTGTGTGTGTGTGTGTGTGTGTGTGTCCGGGACAATGTGTGTGTTTATAGAGGTCTCCCGGGAGGATGCAATAGCACAGTCATTCACTAATGCCGCCCCCCCCCCCTCCTAAACTCCTCTCCAACACACACATAAACACGCTCTCTTTCACTCACACACTCCTCCAACCGCACACACACTTCTTGGCAGCAGCTCACTCTTGCTGTCACACACTCAACCAAATATTCTGCGGTCAGCCGGCTATTTAAAGCTTGGCTGCAAAATGTCTGCATTTAAAACCAGTGAATCCCATAATATGACAAATGTCAGCTCCACGCTATTGACTGATGCAAAAGCTGAAGGAGGATAATAAGGGGAGGCATGTGAGGGGGAACTGAAATATCATATTTTATTTACCGTACCATAAAAACATTATTGTAAAGGAATCAGCCGCCCAGGTCTCACTACAAATTACTTTTTCAAACTCACTTTATTTTTAACACCAGCGAGAATCCCAACGTTTCCAAATATGTCAGAGTGAATTATGGGTATAGGTGTATAAAAAGATGCACAAACATGTCTATTTTAACATATAGCAGCCATGGAAAACACCGGATTAGGGTTTGGATGGTCGCTCGTAGTTTTAGTGAAATACTGGAACAGGACAAGGATGAATGTGTGACCCTTTAGATTAAGGGACATTTAAAGGGAAATGCCTTATTAGAGGGTTATTTCAGACAGAGATTACTTTCTTCAAGCCACAGGAACTTTTGTTTGCCAAAGCTAAACTATAAAATGATTATCAATAAAAAAATACACACATATTGTAAATGCAGAAATGTCTATATATAATACATTTAAAGGTCACCTATCATGCTATTTGTAGGCAATAGCATAGGTCTCAGATATATACAAATATATAAAAAACCCGTCTATGAAGTGTTTTGCTCAAAATACCAAACAGATCACCCATTCTAGCCATGCCTCATATCCCTCTACTTCACTTCCTGTTTCAAAAGTGCTAATTTGGGTATAAAGCTTTAGGAGGGGTCTGAGCTCGTGCGGGACCCGGCAGCTACCGTCTAAACTAAATGCTGCCGTGATGAAACGCCATATCATGGATTATCAAGGATTCTCTCTGAAACAGTTTGGAGCTCAAAGGCTTTCTCTCTTGCCGGTTATACCACAAGGTGAGTTCCTTTTTACTTCCTGCTTCTTCACACACATGCTCTCCAGTACAGGTTAGCTCTGAGTGTTAGCGATGCTAATGTAAACACCGACCATATTACGTCCAAAACAGTCGGGCATTGTTTCTGATAGCAACGTTTCTGATTGGGCCGTGGGTCCACATTTCAGGTATTACGTCATATCGGACGCAAATCTGGATCAGCTCCGTTGTTCCCCGTTTTTAGAGATTTGGGTACGGAGGAAAAGAGAGAGGGTTTTATTTTCTGACGCTGCGTGAGTTCCTCGACACACCGGGGACACATAGTTATGTATAAAAGACATCAAAAAGTGCATTTTGCATGATAGGAGACCTTTAAATATGAGACATCAATTCAGGCTCTTACTAACTGTAAGAGCCTGAATTGATTTTTTTTTTTTATAGATTTGATCAATTCTTGTCAACAATTTATATTTTGTATAATTATAAACATATTAAGCTATATATAATTAGAAAATATAACATCACAGTTTGACACATTAGACTAAAATATATATATATATATATATACATTAAACATATAAATAATAAACATATTAAAACCCAATAATATGCAATAAATAAATGAATTTAAAAAAATAAAAAAAATGCGAAAAAATAAATAAAATAAATGAATTAATACATTAATTAAATAAACAATTAAAAAACAAATAATTAATTAAACAAATTAAGAGAAATCAACAAATAAAGACGTCTTAAATGCCGGTAACCCCACTCCTCTGATGACAGTCGGTACAGAACTAAAGCTTTGTTTAAATCCACAAAAACTGCTTTCAATTCCACGGCAACATTTTTGCAATGATATTAGATTGCTTTGAATGAGCCAAGCTTTCAAATGTCAAAGCATATTATGATTGTACTAAATTGGTTTAATCAGAACATAAAAACCTCGTAGGATCAACTCAATAATGCCAACGTTGGAACGACTTAAACTGATGCAATTTGTTACTTCAATTTCATTTATGTGTATCATTTTTCAGAGCGCGGTGGAGAGCAGTTTGGGATGAATTCAAGGAAAATCAATCTAAGACAAAGACATTTAAATGTGTTGCAGCCGTACAAGAGGAATTATCCAACTTTGGAGGGGGGGATATTAAAGGAAAGCTGGATGTTAAGTGGTTAACGATGATGAACATGTTCGTTAACGTGTGACATCAGAGCGTTTTCCCTCACAGTCTGCAGATGTGGAAACCAAAAGCAAACGTTCGTACAGACAGGAGAGTTCACAGCAGACACTCACACACACAGGCTCAGTCTGCAGCGTGTGTGTGTGTGTGGCTGGTGGTGGTGGTGGTTGAGGTTTTGGGTTGTGTGTGTGTGAGTGTGTGTGTGAGTGTGTGAGTGTCGTCTAATCTCATTTAACTTATTGGGTTTTAGGGAGCTAAGAATACACCCTCCTGCGAAGAGAATCCACCAGCTGTGTGTGCAGTGTGGCTCCAGACACACACACACCACACACACACACACACACACACACACACACACACACACACACACACACACACACACACACACACACACCACACACACACACATACACACACACACACACACACACCACACCCACACACACACACACACACACACACACACACACACACACACCACACACACACACACACACCACACACACACACACACACACTGAAAGATGATTCATCTGTCTGATTTTGGATACTTAAAGTTAAGATAAATGTGTATTTTTCCCTTTAAGGTTTTTTTTGCCGCAGCGGCCAAACTAAATGAACTCAGCAGTGGAAAGGAGCCCAAATACAGAGCATCAACCTAAAACCCTAAACAGTAACTGACAGGGGGCTCTAAAGGTTTCTCTTCATCTGAGCGGGCAGACTGCAGGTTCCTCAGAACGGACAGAAGAAGAGTTCTTCCTCTCCCTCTGAACCCAAACCCTTAGTCTGCAGCATATCTTAGTTTTTTGTGAAAACCCAATATACTCACCAGGTGAGGAAGGTACAACTTGAACACATATTCATTAGAAGTTCATTACAGCATCACGGCAGGTTACTTTCCATCCAAATTGCATATGAACCAGTCCAATCCCAACTTATTGATGGACGTTTAAATGGTCAAAAACCTATTTTGTCTTCGAGCAGCCAATCTCTTTCGGACAAGTGCACGGAAATCTGCATTACAGTAATATCACCTCAACTATAATAGAAACTTAACCTCAGCCCAATAGTATCCATATTCATTAAACAGCTTGGTCGAATACTCAATTCTAATTAGTCGATTTGGACATTCCAGAAGTTGTTATTTTCCGCTATCAGACCGTTTCTAAGGAGAACGGACTGTTGCTAAGGGGGACTATGTGCAGTCAAATCAATCCACAGAAAGAAGTCCGGTCAGTTTAACGTCAGCTGTGGAAAACAAACCTTGGTGTTCTCCATCAGGAAACACCATGGAGTACTTTCTGAATAATCATTTTTACATTTGGGGAGAGTTTGACTCTTTGGATCCATGATGGCTGAACTGGACTATGTGTTCTTAACGGTAGGGAAACGATTTAAATCAAAAAGATCCTTTTCCATCAATATTGTGATTCAAGTCGCTCATTTATTTAGTATAGCTGCATATAATGGATCTTGACCACCATGCAGGTGTTCTTATTTCATGATCGATGATAGAGATATTAATTTAAATGATATTCAAAGAAATGTCAATGTATCGTGCCAACATACACTTATTTTTTTAAGATATTAATGTGCCTCTTAAGGCAGACCAACATCTGCTCCACAGGGAGACGGATGGCACCTGCACCGAGCGAGGTATTCAATCTTTATTTTGTTTAACTCAAGGTGCATTAGAGATTGGTTTGAGAGCTGCCGCTGTGAACGCTTCAACCTCCAGAGGTGAGACTACAGGAAGTGGACAACCCCTCTCATTACAGCCAGGTTTCCCAGAGG